TCTTTCCCTTTTGTTTTGTACCTGTAAGTGGGACTTTGGCCGATCTTTGAACTGTTAAGTGAAAACAAAACTGAAGCAAAGAGATTCTTGGAACAGAACAAATTGGATCAATTCTACAGCTTTTCCTAATCTGCCTACCAGTTGGGGTGGAGATTTTCTGTGAGATTTGGAGCTTTGTTTTGAGAATGGTGGATATTTTAATAGCAGGTTCCCTTTGCCTGGATAGGTTTTTAATAACAGGTTTCCCTTTGAAACAGGTTTGGAATATAGTTGTAGAATTACAGTGCACTGTTTTTTGAAACGTTGGCTGCATCCTTGTAAGTGGAGGGGAGTGGTTTAAATTCAGAAGTCATCCATCAACAGGTTTTAATTTGTTAGAAAACAAAGGTTCTCGTGCCAGGCTTTTGCTAGATGCAGGATATGTGTGTGCCTTCTGTACTGTCAGGTGTGGAAAATTAAGCTCAGAGGTATTTCTCAAAACCACAAATAAATCAGTGGTTGGCCTGAGATGAGATTTGGTTCCTTATTAATAGTAGCTTACAAAGGTGCCATTTGCCCACCCTTTGTTACCAGTGGAACCTGGTGACTGAGTGTGACACGGCTTAGACAATAGAGCCTCCTACCTGGGCTCTCACAGAAGGGACTGAGCTGCAAACCTAGGGGTGTGTGACAGTGAGGGCCTGTCCTTAATCTCTGTGCCTCCCTAAGACTCAAAGTTCTAGATCAAGGGAATTGATAGCTCTGGAGGGCTTTCGTTTCCTTGAGGTCTGGGCCTGTGTGCAGTTCGGAGGACTAGACAACCATAAAGTGCCGTCTTCTGGAGAGCATTCTCAGACTCTGCCCACACCCGCTCCTCTCGCCATCCTTGTGGTTTCCTGCTGTCCTTGTGTTAGCCCAGGTGACTCCCCAAACCAGCTCTCTGAGCAGCAGACCAAGAAGGAGATAAAGCACAGCCTTGTTCTCTTTGTCCAGCCTGCCGGTATTCTCGGCTGTATCCTGGCCGGGAATGTGTACGATTGCACATAATCCTAGGATAAATAGCCAAGGAAGAGACTTGGTTCAGCTTGCTTGGTAACAAGTTAAGTATATGTTTACATATCCAAGTAATTGTGAAAGAAGGAAATCATGCTTGCAAGTTCTTGGGAACCCACACAGGAGGCGATGATACAGTGTTGCATTACAGCGTTTTGTTATTTTCTTTCTCCATGAAGATTGCAACTCAGTGGGAAGTCCTTAAAACCAAAATCCTTACTTGCCTGCCCCACCAGCTGGGGAGGACAAGGCCCTTAAAAACATGGCGGAAAGGGAATCCCAGAGGTACTTTGCCCTGGCAGGATAAACAGCCAAGGGAGTGGTTCCTGCCCACCGCAGTGGTGCTCATGAGGGGGCGCCCTTGCGTAGTGGCTGTGGGCCAGTGGCCTGGCAGGCTGGGGCAGCTGGTGTGCCCTTTCAGAAGGGCTCACCCTCTCCTGCTCTCTCACTGTGTCTCACAAGGAAGAAAAAGGTGCATGTTCCTGTGCTCAGTTTATCGCTCGAAATGTGATGGGCTATCCATGTGCCAGAAGCACTGACTCAGTCCAGGTTGCCTCGTGTTTAGATTCTGCTTTTCTGTTTCCTGATTAAAGTGCTATTTCAGACCGGGTTGTTAAGGCAGCGGAGACTTCGCAGCCCTGTTAGCATTTACCGTCACCTGGACTCTTCTCCCCGCACTGTTGTTTCTTGGGCTCCGTCACTGCCCGCCTCGCCTGTGTGCCGCTCAGCCTCGTCCTGGGGGCACCGTTTATTGAGGAGGGCTGTGGACTCCGGATGGGAAGCCTGCCTGCTAGGTGGTTCCAGACTTAAAGAGACATGCTCTTCCCCCTTCCAAGTGGGAGCTGTGTTGAACCAGAGGCTCAGGAGTCAGGGCAGTTGCAGTTCTGGGTCGATTTGAGCAGGTTCAAGGGTTCTTTCAGTGTTGCCCCAACTCTTCCTTTTCTTCCAGAGAGCCCTGAGCCATCGCTGTCGTGGCCATGCCACTGGGTTGTGTGTGGCTAGAGTGGTGTGGGCATTTGCAAAACAGACTTGTCACAGTTCCTGCTTAGCAGAGTCCAAGGGTCTCTTGCCCTTCGTTCCAGGGACGATGACATTGAAGTCATTGTGGACGAGACCTCAGATCACGCTGAGGAGACCTCTCCCGTGCGAACCATCAGCAGGGCAGCCACGTAAGTAGATGGTAGACGGAGTGGCCAGGAAGAGGAGAGCTGTTGACAGCACGTTGGTGGGCCTCAGCCCCAGTGCTGGGACATCCAGCCTGTCCTGCACAGCCTCGGACATGCCCAGCCTCTTGGTTGACCTCTGCTCGGGAGGGAGGCAGAGTTCAGGTGGCCTCCTGTTTCTAAGTGTAAAAAAATGTAGAGTCTTCCTGAAAGATGGGCGCTTAAACCTTACTAAGCAGGGCGATTGCTTAGGTCGCACTGTTTGATTCTTACCAGGGCTCCAAGGGTTTTGATTTTTCTTTTAGTATGTGTGGGGTTTTTTTTTTTCCCACTTTTTTCCCAAAGCAGAATAGAATGGGGATTGGTTATTAACAGTTGTAAACTGTTAGGTCAGACTGTTTCCTTGCCTAAGGCTTCATTTCCAGGGAAATTAATTTAATACTAGAGAACCTTGTTTCTTTTGAAACCTTGAGGCTGGGTTTCCCTTCTGCCTCCCCACTGTTTTCTGGTGGTTCAGAACCGTGCTGGGTCTTTCTCGGCTGGGGTTTGGGAACTGAAGGGCACACCCTCCAGGAGCCTGTGTTGGTGGGCTGTTGTTATTGCTTATTTGGGCAAATGTTGCTAAGGTTTAAACCTATCCTCCCTCCTCTTTAGTAAGCGACTCTCGCAGCCTGCTGGAGGCCTTCTGGATTCTATCACTAATATCTTTGGGTAGGTTAGAAGACCTTCGCCTTCCCTTTGTCGAATGTGTATGGATATACCTAAGCATATGTGCCCGATGTGTCACTACACTTTGGATATACACCACAGTTTCAGAGGGGCAGAGTATTCTGAGCCTTAACCTCAGCTTCTCACGTAGCTTCTTCCTTTCCCTCAACTCCTCTCTGCGACCTCGCGGCGTGCTGACCTCTGGCCTTTCCCTTTAGTCTGCCCGAGTCTCCCCTTTTGGGACATCACTCTTC